TAATCTAGATCTAGTGTCAGCAGTTTGTGGTGGGAGTGAAACAAGAGATGCCCTTTGTTTTGTCTATTTTAAGGCTTTTGATGTTTTATGGCACTTGTAGGCAAGCCAAGGGACGTGACTAAGAGAGACTTTAGCTTGTTTTTTTTTTTTCCTGAGCTGTGCTTGGAGCTTATTAGACACCTGTGCTTTGTTTGACACGTAAAATACTGTATCACATAGAAATCAAAAGGATGACCTGGTCCAGATCAGCATTATTAAGGATTAATGATCTGGATAACATGATGATGGGTAAACTGCCTTAAATCTGAGATGGCATCAAGCTGAGGAAAATTGGAGACTTGCTGTGGGATGAGAGTCACAGTTGGTGGCTGACAGATGAAGCTATTGCTAAGCAGACAGTAATAGCACATTTGGTGGTGTACATACAGGATATGTGCTTGATGAAAAGCTTTATGAGATTTGTAGTGGTTCTCAAGTTAAACTTGAATTAGCAGAATTGTGCTGTTCCAGAACAAGACTTCTGCTTTCAACTTTTAGTCTCTTTTCAGTGTGCGCTTTAAGCTGGTCTAGTTCTGTGTGGTCTCATCCATTCAGTTGGTGGATCATTTAGAGAAAGATAAGAGCAGTTTATGGAAGATGATGCGAGATCCAAAAAACGGGGTTCTTTACTTGAAAGAGGTGGAACATCTGATTATGGGCTTTAAATACATAAAGACTGTTTTTCTTATCCACTGTGATGGCAGAAAATAGAGTTTTAACTTCTTTTTTGAAGTAGCAATCTGAATTGTGTCTGGGAAAATTGAAATTAGGAAACTTGCAGAAGAGAACAGTGAATTCCTAGGACAGAGCACACGTGGAGGTTTGTGGCATTCTTCAAAAGCAGATTAGACACTCATCCTTGGGTGATGACACTTTTTTGAGTCTTGTATGTTTTCTGTCTTTTGTGCTTAAAATTAGGCAAATGTGCAAGATCCCATATAGTGCCATATAAACTTCCACTATACATAACTCAGTAGTTACAGAATAAATATCTCTTTGTGGGACTGCAGTCTGGTCTAGTTACCTTTTTTCCCCCCATTTCTTTCAACTTTATGTTTACACCTTTCTTTAATTCCTTCATATTTGGGGACAAATAGAGAAAAAAAAGTCCTATCAAACTATCAAATAACAATGCTCTTAAGTCCTCCTAAGTTTTCATGTAGTGTGAAAAGACCCATCTGCATGAATTCCCTTCCTGATCACAATGAGACGTTAAAACTGAAGCTTCAGTGCGAGTTTTTAGATCCCAGTAGCAACAGTATTGCTGCTCAGCGTTTTAACAAGTGTGTCTAGCTAATGTGCATGTTCTCCATCCCATCCTGTCTCATATTATTCATGCCTTACCAAATGCATCAGCTTCACTGAAAATAGCTCATTTACAGCTATTGCCTGGTGCTGACAATGTATTTGATACACAGATTATAGGGAGCATTGGGACAGCCATAAGGAAATGGAACTTTACATTGAAAGTAAACAAAATGAGTGTTGCTGCATATCTTATATTTTCATTTAAAAAAGGGTTGATTAATACTTTTACATACTCTGGCACTGGGAAGTAAACCCAAAGAAAATACTCTTGAAACGAAATGCATTTTGTTTAGCAATGCAACGAGTATTCCAAATATACATGTAAAAAATTGTTTACACGTGAATTTGTTAGTTGTTTCATTTATGAATAGCAGTGATGGTCATGAATGCAGTTTATTAAACTGAGGTGAGAACTTAAGGCTTTTTTCCTAACAGTAACTTTCAAGCAGATATATTATTGCAGGAAACTTGTTGTTCTTCATTCTTTGCCCTTCTGTAAGGACATCTAGGTTGAAGTAGGTGGAAAATTCCAGCAGTTCTGAAGCTGTAGGTTATTCCTTCAGAAGCTGCAACTCCAGTCTTGCCTTACCACTTCCTTTAAAAGCTAATGTGGCAATGCTGATTTAGTCTTATCAGGGTGATCCATACCTGATAAAGTAATAGCTTCTGTATTGTTAAATCATCAAAATTGGTAATAATTGAGGAAATTGGAGAGTAAAAAATAGCCTCTTAAAATATTTCTATATGAAAAGGCCTGTGGACATGTAATTGGTTAGATTATGACAAAAATAATAAAATTTGTTTCCAAGTATAAATTCATTAGATGAACAGAGATTTTTTTTTTTGTGGTTGTTGCTGGTTCTAGAAATTATTTCTTAAAAGAATATACTAAGTAAGAACTGCTGTGGTTGCTCTTTTTCTAGTCTACCTGTTCTATCTGCTAGTGAACTTCTTGAACAGTTTTCTTATCCTCTATAAAGTCAAGAGGTCTATGAGGCCTTGGGTCGACCAAAAAACTACATAAATTCTCCATCCAGCACCCCATATAGGTGAGGACATTGTTTTTATTCATGTTTTGAAGACAGCAGTGGACACTGTCTTTTAGTCTGGTAACCTTCTGAAGTGTTCTCTGTAGTTGGGTGCTAACCTTGAGATGCTTTTTTTCCTAAAGATCATAGCGTCGTGGAGGGCTTCTGTGATACACACTCACTATGATTTCTGCTTTCTTGGCATTTCAGATGACTTTGGAATTATTGTGTGTTACTTCTGTTCATCCAGATTAAGAAATAAGCATTTTGATACAGCCTGCCTCGTGATGCTTGGAGCCTCTTACCTTATCATTTCTTTCCCTATCTAAAACTCTGTTAGAAGTTTATTCAGAAGAAAAGGTGTCACTTTTTGGAAGACTTCTGACTGCAGATGAGCACAGTTCTGGAATTGCTGCCAGGATTTTTTGCCTGCGGTTGCTCATAGAAAAGTCAAAGCTGGAGAACTGATGTGATTCTGTGGTTTAAGCAGTCAGGGGCTTGACTTGCTGTGTGGGTCAGGTCAAATGGGGCAGCAAAGGGCCCAGGATGCTCTGGCGATTGGTGGCTGCACCAGGGACCTAAACTAAACACCCTCCTACCAAGAACAAAAGTAATCTGGTATGATTTTTGTATGTCTTTTAGATCAGCAACTTCTTATTGTCTCTGAATGTTCTGCTAGTCAGTCCTTTATAGATTAGACCGTTTGAAATTAATGTTTCAGATACATTAGGGTTTATCTACAGTATTGGTCTAGAAGTGACTTATTACACAGCTGCATGGAACAGGTTTTCCTACACTGTTTGTTTATTTACTCTATTTGCCTCTAGGGAACTTGGCTGCATTTGTAATTTTTACTTCCCTCTTCAAAGGTGTTTGTGTGCCTAGACTGCAGGTTGTGTAAGCAAAGATTAAATGTTTCCTGGCAAAATGATTATGCCTTTTTACTAGCTGAAATTTTAGGTAGTTTTAGGAAAATATGTGGTTTCTCCTTGGTGTTATGTAGTGGAAGAATCTTTGCCAGATTTCCTTTATAAATGTGTGTAACACATTTAGACTGTAGGGAACCAGAACTGGGTTTGGACATGTCCCTGTGAGCTGTAGTGAAATAGAAGGGTTACAGCTGTCAAGAGCAGGGCTATGTAAGGTGTGTTACCAGTGCCACAACCTCCTCCTGCCCCAGTATAGCAGCTTCTCCTGCCAAGGCAACAGACTGGAATCCCTGTCCTGGAATCCCATGGCAAAATCACCTTGCACTGCTTCTTCTGGTACTCGTTTTAAGATTAGCACACCTCTGCAGAGTCCCTCAATCTGATGCTATGTCTGATAAGTTCCAAGAGAATGGATATAGACATAGCAGAATTGTATCTGTCACTTCCCATGTAAAAATTTAAATGTGCTCTCATCCTTATTTTTCTTTGCAATGCCCTTGTGAGATTGTATTTGTATTGTTTTAACTTTTAAAAACAAGGAACTGAGCCATGGAGATTATTTATTAATTGATCAGATTCAAATTTAAGAGCAAACTCTGAGGAAAAATTGAACTGCAAGTAATAATAGCTTGTATTTGTCTTATGTAGTTAATTCTTCTGTAATAAAGTTATTTCTTGTCATAAGTAGAGATTTGGTCGCTTTCTGTTATTTTTGTTAGGGTTTATCTGTTTGCTTTTAAACTACATGGTCATGTTGTCATCATCATTATTATTATCATCATAATTAGTATTGTAATTATTATCATTGTTCTCATCATCATTACTATTACTTTTGTTTCTATGATCATTATTATCCAATTTTATTGTAAACAACTCTAACAAGAGTTCTGTTTCTGCAGCTCTGGAATTCCTGCATAGAAGAGACTTACAGAGCTCCACCCAATGTCCAGCTTCCTTCTGTAGAATAGAATGGGCCTTGATTCTGATAATAAATTACTTAAGTAAAACTGTACATGCAAGTACTTTGAATTTTCAGAGTATCATGTTTTCATAGAAACCTTCTGATGCCCTGATACTAGTAATGAAAAAATAATAATAATAAATCTGCTAATAATTCACATAATAGTAATATTACACATTTCCTTTGCCTTCCTTCTACAGAAAGATAAACAACACAAATAAGCAATATATTTTTAAGCTTCTTAAAAGAAGCCATAGCATGAAACACACTCATGCTATTTGTGGTGTAAATTGGTATGGTAGTGCTATGCAATCCAGTTCAGAAAGTGTTTGAGAAAAGGATGGCAGGAAAGAAGCAGTTAAGTGTGAGAGTAGCCAAGTGGTGGTAATTTTAAAAAAATCTAATCAGGGAGAATAGGCACCCGGAAGACTGATCAGCAGCTGTTGCTTCAGATCTGGCTGAATTGGTTTGCCCACATTTTATTTAGAATGTGATTATTTGTCATTTGAGAAATATGCATCTGTTGTCCTTCAGATGCTGGAGAAATTGTTTCAATATTTTGTTTCCTTCAGTAGTTTGCATACTGATTTTAAATGCCTGTGCATTAATGCATATCCAGATTATACAGGGCTAGTATTCCTTTTCTTCTAAACTAAGTTGTTGTTTTATTTGTTTTCTCTATTCCCACTTTCCAATCTTCCCCTGCCCCTATTTTCCCTCCAAAAAAATCTTTAGGAATGACTTGCTGATGGTGTGCCGCCAGCTGAATATGGAGGCGTCTGTTGCAGAGATCATGTGCCAGCTGGGAGCAGATGAAAATGGAAAAATTTCCTTCCAGGATTTTAGTCAGTGCCACATGGAACTGGTACAGGAAATCAAGAAGGAGGAAGTGGAGCTTTCTGTGAAATCTGATGACTCTTGTAAAAAGAAAAAGTTAAGGGATAGAGTAGCTTCCTGGCCAACTAGCAGCAATAACAGTTTAGGTAGGTATTACTTTTAAATGTCCTGTTGGTGTAATTTAACAAAAGGTAAACTGTGGGGTGTTTTTTACTGTTTTTACTGGCATTAGGGTTGCCCCTAAAGGACTTTGTGAATCTTCCTTGGCATAATTTCATCACGTGCTGGAGTGCAGTTGTAACGGATGCAGACTTGTCATCAGAATGTAAACTAGAATATGTGCAGAGCATCCTCTTGTAAAAATGCAAATTGCATAAGAGAACAGGCTTCCTTGGAAGGGACAAGGGCTGGTAACTGAAGATCCAGGGAGTTCTCTGTTCAGCCCAGGCAGGTGTGTAGGTAAGTAAAACCAAAAAAGGAGGGGAGACTTAATCTTGGTTCCAGTCATAATACACTGTAGAAACTAATGTTTCTTGGATGCTTTAAAAATCGTTCCACTTAGTGGGAGATCTGAATGCTGGAAGAGCTTTATGGTTTAGAGAATACAAATATACTCCTCCATCTGATTAAAAACCAAGCCAAAAAAAACCAAAAACAAAACCAGAACCAACCAAATCAAAAGAAACCAACAAGAAAAACAAACCACAAATCCCCCAAAAACTGCAGATCAGCAAACAAAAAACGTGCTATTCCATCCCCAGGAAAACAGGATCTAAGAAGGGATTCTCTGTGTCATTGAGCCTAGTCCTTGATAGCACTGTGATGAGTCAGCATTAGGTCAGACATGTTAATACTTGCAGAGTGCTTCCTTTCACCCTGTAAAAAATGGAAGAGACTAAAGGACACAGAGTCTGGGGTCAAAAATAGCAGTGTGGTGAAAAAGTCCTGTGGAAAAAGCTGAGGATGCTGTCCAGTCCCGAGTTCCCTACAACAGGTGCATGTTGTCTATGCACAATTACTGGCTGGTGACATGGAACTGACCTGCATCCGTGCTTCACAAAAACGCCATCAGCCTCTGATGCTGTTTAGTTGGAGCTATGTCTCCTCAAGCTTTTCGTTAGGCTATATGAGCCTACATGTTTTAAAACACTTTTTAAACTAGAAATCTTCCATTAGTCTTCCCAGTAGTTTTTCTGTGAAGTGTCAAAAAGTAAGTTGGGAATATTTTTTACTGTTGGATCTGCTTCACACATCTTCTGGAGAGGTGCGTTATTCCAGCTTCTCATGTCATTGACCTGTTGTCAGGTGTAATGTTTAATATAAAATTTATTTATTTATTTGAAGGTAGTTGATGGCACGTGGGATTTCTGTTTTAGCAGCATGATGCAAAGCATATTGAAAACACAATAGAGATACAACTCACACACAGCAGAAGAGAGGAATTGCAGGGCACAGCTCAACCAGTGTGGCTGAGCTGTGTATACAATTACCCCACACTGGCCTGCCTAACTCAAGGAGACATTGACATTCTTACTGACCTCGGGGAGAAATACAGAAGCAGTTGATTCTCTCAGCTGTTTATAGTCTACCTAAAGCAAAACCCACCCTTAGGTGTTGAGATCAAGCTGGCTTTTTTGCAACAGCTGTGATGAGTTCCAGCCCACATTGTTCCTGAGCTTCATTATTAGCATTTCTTCTGTTTATCCTCCTTTCATATATATATTCTTGAATTGTAAAACTCTGTAGTTTCTATGCCCATTTCTCCCATCACTTTCTGTATTGAAATCTTTGTAAGCCTTGTGCTCAATTGATTTCCAGCCTGTGAATCTCTTTTCGGAGCTGTCAGGCAATATTTAAATGCCACGATTGTGCCTTTTTTTTTTTTTTAAAGGATATTGGGTATTCCCTTGCTCAGAAAATTATCTTCCATTACCTACCTTTTTGGTGCTGACACACCTGTATTTTTCTGCAAAACAGAAAAACAGTTCTTCCCTCAGATGGCTATACAAAGTTTCCCTGTTTGCTGACCAGATTTCTGGGGTTTAAAATCTTATTTCTCAGACAAACCAGCCAAGTAATTATGATATGCAATAATCAGAGGTGAAAGACAGCTCATAAGCTTTATAAGAGGAAGGCCAACATAACAGTCTCGAGATTTATCCCATAAAGAAAATTTACTAATTGCTGCCAAAAAGTATTAATAGATGAACTTCCAAATTTACTAGTGTATAGAATTCAATCCCAACTACTTTTTTCCCCTATTCCCCAATTGCTGTTAGTTTTACAAGAAGAATGTAATGCATTTTTAAAGTTGGTGAGTGAGCCCATTTTTCTTTTTCTATTTTTTTCCAAAAAATTAAGTCCAGAAGACATTTGAATTTCCTGCCTTGATATATTTTGCTCTGCTAATCAAGTGTGACTATCTTACTGCCCTGTACTTTAGAGCTGTGGGAAATTACCTTGTCTTGCCTTGACTCATGCAAGAATTCTTTGAGAATATACGGACATGCTCCACCCAACAAAAGGATGGGAGGAAATACTAAAAATTAGCTTTTAGGATACAACTGTTTTTTATTTGGTTGTGAAAGAAAACCATTGTGGCAGCACTGTTCAAAATGTTATTTTCAAAGAGTCAAGGAAACAGCAGTGCAATATATTTCTATGATATAAACCCACCCTGTGGTGTGAATATAATGACAGCTGAGGAATTGCACTTTCAGTCAAGCTTGAATTATAATCTGAGCTTTTTTTTTTTTAATAATCTGTGTCTTTTGGATGTTTCTGTGCCTTTCATGTCTTTGAGGCCTCACTTATATACTCATTAGTAATCAAAACATTGGTTATGTTATTACTGAGTCTTTGCTGTTGCTTTTGAAACATTGCTTGAGACAAGAGACATCATACATAATATCATCATACACGTGAGCTTGGTGGATGTTCTTATTTTGTGTTACCTTTTTAGTGTTAGCTTTTTTTTTTTTTTCTGGTCAAAACACTTTTTATTAAACTTTATTTTCAAAGATAGTTTACAGGCCCTTTTTTCCAGACTAATTTCTACATAATTTATGATCTGCTGATAATATTTCAAGGTGGTATCATGGATTGATGTGGGGCACATAAATGAAAGAATTTCAAAACTCATTTGACTGGTATTGAGTAGCAGGGATATTGATGATCTGAAACAAAGGAATCCAGCCTCTGACATGAATGTTTTTACACTGCAAGTTTGTGTGTAATTGTGCAGAGATTACCTGTCAGGCAACATTTTGTGCTGCCTTTTCTTAGAACGGTTCCAAATTCTTAAAAAAAAAAGTAAAACCTTTTATCTAAATATAATATTAGCTTTGCTGCCTAAAAGTTTTGCTTTTCATTATGAAGAAAATAACTTGAAGTTGCAAGATGTAATTGCATCTAATTTATTATTGAACTTCATCTCAGCCATCTTTTTTATCATTGATAAGGTTATTTGCATAATTTTGCCCAACCTTCCCCAACAAATGTTCTTGCCTGTGTTTCCAGGTGGGATGCAGAAGTGAGGAAATTGGTTGACTATTTTTCTCAAGGCACAGGACTCAGGTTTATTAATACTGACTCATGTATGTCCTCAGTAAGCCAAACCTGCATCCATATTTACCATCCTGATGAGCAAATGAGTGTATAGATTTAAAAATGTATTATTCAAGTGCACAAAAAGGAAGTTTTCTAACTTACTAGAATTAGGTTTTTTGATGTTTAGTAATCAGTAATTTCAAAGCTGTTATAATGTGTTGTAGTTCTTACCCTACACTATTAATGTCAGCAGGAGCTTTAATAATAATTTGCAGGTAATAACCAGTCATTTTTCTGTAAGTGAAAAGGCATGTAAACTCTGTTAATCTTCTTGCATTTTAAAATACAGTTAAAAACCAAACCAAAAAAACAAAAACCAAAACATGACCAAAAAACCACAACTTTTGAAAGTGTTGCTGGAGTCTTGCAGTCATCATATGTGACCTGACTCTATTATATCATTTCAGTAGGAAATACAGGAAGAATGTCAGTTACTAATTGAATCTATGGGTCCTGTGTCCAGCTGTGGAGACTGAGGGCCATGATGGGTACAGTAAATCTGTGTGAATAATGTAGTGAGTGATGGAGGTGGATTGCTTGGCACATGAAAACTTTAACACAGCAGAACTGCATCTCTAATGTTTAAAGCAGGGAGTTGCCTGAACAGTTGTGGCTTCTGTTTCTTTTTCAGCTTTGTATGTCTTAAAAAACTATCATTGGAATTATTTATATTATGCATTGTATAGATTTGTCTGGCTCTTTACAAGGAGCAAATTGTCATTTTTTCCCCTTAATTAAGAATAGCCTATTTCTAGCACTGATTGACATGGAGGATGAACAAGTAATGGTTATTTTTTTGTAAATTCTTGTAAATTCTAATAAGAATTATTTATTAGTAAATTCTTGGGGTTTTTTTAACTGCATGTATTTATTGATCTGATTTCATAGTCTAGATAAACAGTTACAAATACAAGAGTCCTTTACCAATTTCTGGCTGTAGATTAGTAACTAGTAATTAATTCATAGCCAGTTCCCCTTCCTTTACTGAAAATAAGTCCCCTGAAAACTTGCTATGATAATTTATTTGCATAGTGGATCAAACATGAGAAATAATCAAAGGAATGGTAGGAATTCAGCCTTAAATTAAGCTTCTGGGTAAACAGGAGAAGCAGACCAGTGGGGCTGAAAATTCATTATTTTTGCTTTACATTAATTCCATGTTTGATCTTACTGCAAATAAATTGCCCTCGAGAAACTGATGCAGTGATTACATTTATTTATGCTATATTTAATTAAAAACTACAGAGCTCATATGTACTCAAAGGCATGCTGCAGATTTTCTTGAGATTTATGAGTAAAGTTTCACCCTTAGGTATATTTACCTAAGAAAAGCTTTGAGTTTCTGTTAGGGCAAATTTAATTACATACAAACTCCTTTTAACTGTAAGTGGTTTAGTTTATTGTGTTTAAATAATGTTCTGAAACCACTGTCTTTGTGCAAAACAGCAGAATATGGGTAATTTTTCTATTTTTTTAAGAATCAGAGGGTTTGAGTTCTATGAGCACCCTTACAAATGAACCTGAATTTCCAGAGGTT